ATACATCAAACTAAGAAATTATTCAGTTTAGCATTTTGTCTTGTGTGGTTTTTGTTTGTTTAAGAGACAGAGTCTCAGTCTATCATCCAGGCTGGAGTGTAGTGGCATGATTATAGCTCACTGTAACCTTGAATTCTTGGGCTCCAGCCATCCTCCTGCTTCAGCCTCCCAAAGCACTGACATTACAGGCATGAGCCATTGTGCCCGGCCAATATTTTATTTAAAATAAAACCCCTTCAAAAAGAAAGTATGGGGCCAGGCATGGTGGTTCATGCCTGTAATCCTAGCACTTTGGCAGGCTGAAGAGAGACGATCACTTGAGCCCAAGAGTTTGAGAACACCCTGGGCAACACAGTGAGACCCTGTCTCCATAAAATAAAATAAAGTAAAATAACCAGGCATGGTAGTACGTGCCTATAGTCCCAGCTACCTGGGAAGCTGAGGTCGGAAGATCACTTGGACCCAGGAGGTTGAGGCAGCAGTGAGCTATAACCATGCCACTACACTGCAGCCTGGTGACAGAGCAAGATTGTAACTCAAAAAAGAAAAAAAAGAAAGTATAGTCATTAAGCAGGTCATGGTGATTCAAGATGACTATTTGTCTTCTTAATAATTACTGTCTGCTTGAACATTTCCAAGATCAAAATTGAAATTTCTAATATTAGAAAGTTTTAATATTAGAAATTTCAGTAGAAAGACTATAGAGTTACAGACATCACTGAGTATATCTTACACTATCAGCCTAAAGAGAAACAAGGTTACACAGATAACTCAGGGGAGCCATGACTTACCGGTTGACTGTGTTTGTGCTATTCGCTTAGGGTAAGTCTTGCTTCGACTTCTCGTCACATTCTGATCAGGCCGGGGAAGCTGAATAGAAAGATCTCGGCTCATTTGTAAAGCTGTCCTGCCACTTGAAAGTGCAACATTTTGATTAGGAAAGGTAAAACCACACAGCCACAAAATTAAACAGGTCATTCAGAACATCTGCCAAATACGGAGAGAAGAAAAAACACACAGACTCACTGGTTTTAAAATGATTCTCATGGCAATAGTGATCAAGGGAGTGGTTATGAAATTCTAGGAGGAGATTTACATTAGATAGACGGAAAATCTTTCAGAGGAGGAAACAGGAAGAAAGGATTTATTAAAGGAGGAGTTGGATTTCCGTAGAATGATGGGCTAGAAATAAAGGTTGCTGATAGTCTTCAAGGTCACTAAATAATACAGAAATTAAGTTGGGCTAAACTGTGGAAGGGCAATGATTCCACATGAGCTCCATGTTGTACTCACACAGCAGGTTGTAAAGCATCCCCCACAGGACCACTCAGTAGAATTTTATTCTGGACTCTGCCATGGCACAATTAGCCATTTACTTGCCCACCTCGCCTGGGCCAGATCAAGTGTCCAGGAAGACTGAAGGCAGGCCTAGAACCCCATGCAAAGCACTGCTGCTCTACAGATTCCATGCGGATTCCAGGGCAGCTTTCCCTGGGGCTGGGTCAAACTTCTCAAATAATTTTCCCAAGGAATCATGTGATTTAGTTTGCTGGATTTCAGTGAACATTCATCTTACTAACAATTTATTCCACAACAGCTAAATTTGAGCAACTGAATGGCCCTGGCTTTCACGCAGGAAAATATCATTTAGGTACAGGAAAATCACATTTCTACAAGTCTAGTTTGATTCACCACAAGTACAGCCATCTATGGGAGGAAAAAAGTCTTTTAAGGGCCCCAAATCCTATTTATCTTACATTTACAGGATAAATACGGGTGAGTATCTCTCCCAAAAAACAGATTAAACAGACTTAAAATTCATCTTTCACATGTTTCTGTGGAAGTTTCTCCTCCTCACTACCTCCTCTGCCTTTATTAAAAATGAAGATGCCTACAATTCTCATAAAAATAACTCTGCATTAGGCTAAGTTGGGACGTGTGGTATCAGCTACCAGGGGAATAAAGATGCCAGGGCGCATCCATGATGGTACTTCACGTTCAATAACAGTTTATGGAAATTCGGGAGGGGAGAGAAGCAAACTGACAGATTTTCTTTTGCTTAAAATGTAACTTCTTTTAAAAAGGTACACAGATTTCCAAAAAGCTAAAATTCACATAAAGTGCAAATGTTCATTATTATCAATGGTCTGGAGTATGAAGATAAGGCCTATTTTCAACAGATTCACTATTAACAGAAAGACTTGGGCACTGTGTACTTCATCTCACAGAGGAAAAAATTTCCCCCTAAAAATATAACCCCATATGTGAACCACTGAGGCATTTCATAATCAGATTTTATTATTCAAATTTTTCTCATGGTTTCTCTCTCGGAACAAAGGACAAATGAGAAAATCATATCATAAGATTAGTAAGACTGAGGACCAGAAGCGTAAAGTGATTTGCCACAGGCTGTTCAGGACCCAAGCTTCCTGAACTCCAGCTGGTCAGTATGGCATAGCCTGGTGGCATGGGAGAAGGAACAGCACATGTAGCTGTTGGGTTTGAAGTTGCAAGCCCTGTTTAAAGCAAAGCTCTGCCTTTTCCTAGCTGCGTGATCTTCAGAAGGTTATTTGTAAAAATCCTTGCAGCCTTGTTTTCCTCATTTATATTTCTACTTGTTCTTACAATTTCCTGGCAGAAGTATTCTTGTATAGCATCCTATTTCCTTGTAGCAGAAAGTAATTGACAAGTATAGAGATTTACAGTGTAAGGTGATGAAAGTCCCTACGCATGTCTGGTGGCTCTCTGTTATGACAGGACAGAGCTTTATTTCTGTGATCAACCACTTCCCTGTTGCCTCTGGCATACACACACCCCTCTGCATGCTGGGTGGCAGTGCCAGCAGGCCCTGTGGCCTCTA